TTCAATCATCTGGATAAACCCATTCTTCGAGAAGTATTTTGGGTTATATTCGAGAAGTTTCTTGAATGGATAACGAATACGAGAATACCACATTTCTGGTGTTTCACCACTATATCTATATTGCAGATTGTTTAACGCCTGCACTACTATAGGATTTAAACCAGGATAGTTAGTTTTAACCATTTTTATAGTTTATAACTGATCTTAGCGTTTTAGCGAATTATAGCTGTTTTAAAGACATAGTGATTTATAGCAAGTATATTATAATAAAATAATAGATTCATTTTTTTTCGTTCGATTACAAGCATATTGGGATTTATAAGGGACATATCTCGGCTATATTTACATGTGGTTTGGCCGTAGGAACTGTGTATGATGTATAACATAAAAATTTGTATCACCCTAGCTCTTAGACAGTTTCTAGCACTTCCTCGTAACCTTTTCGCAACTTAAATCACGAGATGATCGGCCAATCAGATTTCGTCTCCCTAATCTAGCTAAGCCACCGTTAAATGAGATTTTAATGAATATCTTGTTTGAGAGTATTTATGTTATCTCAAAGAACAAGGAGGGCACAAAACACATAACACTTTTAAAAAATCAAAGTAAAGCCCTTTATTATATTTTTCAAAGTACATTCATGGTATAATAACACAGTATAGAAAAAATGCACTGATTAATGAAACAATAACAGTGGTGTGCAGAAGAGCCTAATGAAGCACCATAATGGCTAATGTAGTTACTGCATATTACCCTCACATTTGACGATTCTTGGGCAGTAGCAATATCATAAGATGGTGGTAGATAAAGGGATAAGGACAGTTCTTCATGCGTGAAAGTTCTTCTCTGACCGACCAACTGCTCTGTATCAAAAATATCCATTTCATCGTTGGTGGTTAACGAGCTAACAGGCAGAATTGTTAAGTGTCTTTGTCTAACGGGAAGTGACTGTCTTCGACCAACAGATGGCGATTGTCTTCAGCTAATAGGTGGTTATTGACTTCGACTAATAGATGGACTTCAACTTAACCGTCTTTCGGATGATCCCAATTCGCGTTCGACTTCCCTGGTAGATGGTGCAGGTGTAATATTTTCACTACCTCTATTTCGTCTTCAGTTAAAGTATTAATACCGTGGACTCTATCAAATTCATCCTCAGGTCTCTCCCAAAAATGTGTACGAAATTCATCAAAATATCGTGCTCCTGTTCGACTTCTGGCTTTACTTTTACCAGACATAAAATTACACATAACCTAACAATAAATGATCAATGTTAGAATTGGACACGAAGTGGATTACCAACTAAATGGGCAGTTCTTCAAATACAATAATAACTTACATTATAATCCCGGATAAGGTTTGAAAATTTTTCTTTACACTGGTAACCATTGAATGTTGTTCCAGTTTCCCGATTGATTTTAACCGCAATACTATTCCAGAAGCTTTTCTGATCCCTTTCAAGGTCATGGAATTTATCGTTTCTGTTTCTGCGTTCATCAATAAGAATACGAATTTGAGCATTAGTCCATTTAGCCATTTTTTGAAAAAAAACAAGAATGTTTTATGAGACGGAGTGTTGGATAGGTTGTTTATATAATCTAGAGTATTGTTACGTAATAGGGATTTTTTAATTATTTGGTACAACTGAAGATCAACTTAAGATCAACTGAAGATCAACCATAGTTCAACCAGAGTTCAACCAGACTTTGCATTTTTCGTTTTTGTTCCACTGTTTATAGCTTCCTTTACCTATCAATCTGCAGAAGATAACATATCCAACTTCTTTGTCCTGGTAGCTTTTCTTTCTCGAATAAATATGTGAAAAAGGTGTGGTTAATGAGAGTTTACTTTCTGAAGCGCAGTCTCAACCTGACTTCAACCAGATTTCAAACCAATAATATCTATTCACAAGTGGGTGTATTTCGTCACATAAAAGGAAAAAAATTCTTCATTATTGATTATTATAGATCTATATATATCAATTCAAAGATGGAATAATATATGATTAGTCTAACGCCAGTAGGATAATAAAAATTTTCTAAGATCTCTAACGGAAGATCGCATGTGGTATATCTTTATTTAAGTTCACAGCCTCCCCAAAATAGGAAGTTCGTTATGTAGAATGGTTATTATTACACTACCCCTATTTCAATTGTAATCAATAAAGATCGGAATATTTGTCTTGACCGTAAGTCAAGGATCTGTAGATGACGAATCACACATGCATTACTAATTCCTAGGCCCACAAAATTTTCATCTCTACATGACCATAGTAAAATATTACCTTCAAAAATTGATTAATGTATGATTAGCCTATATACGTAATCTGAATGCGCTAACGTCAGTAAGATAATAAAAATATACCATTTATCTGAAGATCTGAAAATCATATATTCTAGAATTTCTTTTTAACAACGCCCTGTCTTACGATCCGCAATGTAAATCAGGATCTGTTTTTTTATTAGTAATTTGGAACTGCGTAATGAGTGAGATAGAACATACCAGAACTTCTTTCGGCTTGGCGCTGGGGAAAGTTCATCAGTATGTCAACACAAAAATATTGCTCTTGGCCGGGGTTATTAATAGATCCTCTGAAAATAACGACTGCGGATGCCAGTGACGTTTACTGCGCATAGAATATTCTGCGGAATCACATGCGTTTACTACAGAGAAGAATAGATGACGTTTTACTGTGCACGGTATCTAAGCCACCCACGTGATTCGAAAAAAATAATGCGAATATATATGCGGATCTTACGTCGCACAGCCCCTATTCTTCGGCAATAATTTTGCCGGTGCATTTCAGGTGATCGATCTCACATGACGAAGTTTTCGTCTATGCTTTTACAGATACTATTGGGATGTCAGGATTAAGAGCTTCCCTGCATTCGAGCCAATAAGTTC